AAAATCTTGCTTTGTGTACTTGGTAACTCTAAAATTTGGAAACCATGCTTGGAAGATAAATATCTTTCTGATAGTATTTTTGTCAACTTCACTCAGATATTTCAAAACAGAAGGGAAAAGGAAGTAAAAATCATTACTGAGGTAAGTAGAAAAATTTGATTTTACTTTAGTTCATTTATTTTCTTAAGTATCAGTTTGAGAGATACAGGGCCCCTTTCTCAAGATATCAATCCAGAGATACAGGGCCCCTTTCTCAAGATATCAATCCTTCCAGTCTTAAGTGTCTTAAACATGTACAACTCAAGGTTGTTGCATATTCTTATCCCACAGCTGAATGCATCCATCTTCAAGACAAGAAAGGACAGAGTTCTACAACAAAAGCATAATTCAACATTTCTTGAAAACTTCCTGTTAATACAATAACAAATCCCCAGGGAATATTATTTCAAGAATACAAATCAGTGTAGATGCCAAAATATCTTAAGCACAATATAAATACATTTTGAAACAAGATCAGGAAACAGTTTTCTTCATAGCAATCATTCTGTGAAATTAAATCAGAATTTAAGGTTTACAAATATGGTCCATGTCTCAGGTCAGATGGAGAAGCTAATTTAACAGCTCACAAAACACCATGCTTTACTGGGTGACTGTTGCAGATGCATTTATTTTATGTTGACGGGGCAAATATTTGGTTTGCTAGCAAAATGAAAACAGCAATGATCAAGACTGACAACAAGAACACAGCAGTAAGTGAGAGGAAAGCAGGGTTTCCACTGTAGGACAAAAGCCATTCCCCAGCCCGTAACTCTGCCCTTGAAGAAAAAACACCACAATGTGAAGAAGAATGTTTTTATTTACAAATTCACATACAGCTCTCCATAATGACAACTTGGAAACTAAACACTAAAAACCAACTATAGCTTTTGTGTGCTCAAAAGTTTGCTTATTTTCTTTTCTAAAGATATCAGAGAATACTTGTCCAACAGAACTTCCCCTTGTTTATACTCCCAGATTACCACAACTGCATGCATTCCTAAACTTTTCTTTCCCAAATCATCAAGGATATGACAAATCAGTGTAGTTTTTTTTCCCCAAACATATTTAGCAAATATGAATACAATTGCGAATGATGATATGCATTAACAGTACTATACTTTTCCCCTCTCTTCTTGCCAATGGCTGATCTTAAAACCCTAAAACATTTAATATGATCCAGTCTCAGTAATTTATAGCAAATTTCATACCTGAGTAAGATTTCTAAGAAAGCTGGCCACGAACTTCAGTCTGGCTTCCCAAAACAGGTTGATATGCTAAGATCATGCAGCAGTGGTACACAAGTGCCCTAATGGTTGTAAGGTAATTTGGGCCTAGGCTTCATAGAAGCAAGGACTCACAAAAAAGCATGACTTTTTTTTGCAGAAGAGCAGTAAAGAGGGCTACACATTGGAAAGGAATTCCCCTTAAAGAAGAATACAGAAATTAAGCTCACCATGCATTCCTACCCCAGTTTGATACATTTGTAAGTTAACATTGAAGCATCAGATGCTCTTACATGATATTGTTCAAGTGTAAATGCTTTTTTTCCCCAGGTATTTTGCAAAGAAATTTGTACCTAACCACTTTAATAATAGGAACACATTATCTAGGGCAGACACCCACACAACTAAGACACTACCACACAACAAAAGCAAATACACTTTAAGGATCATAAGAAACTGTATTCCCAGGGTGACATCTGAATACTCTGCTTTTTGTCCAAGTTAGACACTTCCGCATGGGTTATAAGACATACTATAAACTTGTCTAGTAAAACAACAAGCTAATATTTGAAACATGGTCTAGAATGACAATGGAACCAGCATCTTGAAGCAATATGCTAAGAGTGTCTAAAATACCCATGAAGGTCACATCCTACTATCAAGGATGACTGACTTACATAACTTCAGAACTCCACAGCCATGTCCAACTAACAAATGTGAAAAATTATAAATTAGGCTTTACAGATCTTTTGTTAATGCAGCAAGGGGAAGGGGGGAGATATTCCTACACTTGCTATGTATTCTCCACAGAAAAAAATTCTTTCAATTAAAAAAACAATGCATACTTGTTCTGAATATAAGGTCCATTCTGTCATGAAATTGAAATACATTCTTAATTGGTTAAAAATTTGTTTAGGAAACTACATTCATTTTACTTCTTTTCTTTTTCATCTTTGTGAGAACAATTTTAAGTAGTAAAAAATCAAAACAGAATAAACAAAGTAGATACATTCTGTCCTGAAAACAAAGGAAAGCATCATGCTCAGAAAAGCAGTCACTTTTACATCTTAGCACATATGCATACACGTTCACATGAGTACACGGGGCAATAATGAAATGAGTCTTTTCCCCCACACACGGTGACACACTTGCTGCTCTGCGGTCAGATTGTCTTCCTAAATTATAGTACGAGGCTAATTTCCTGTCCTGATCTGCTCTCCTCTCATGTTCACCTCATCCCATTGATCAACTTTCCAGCCAACATAACTTTCCCATTACACTGCATTAACTTCCTCCAACAGACCACTTGTGACAAGCTCCAATTCAGAAGTCAAGTAAACTTGAGCTTCAAAGCATCACAAGCACTGTCAAAAATTCTCTTTATCCTCCAATCCTCAACAAGAACCAACCTGAACAGGAACAAACATCCTTCTGTTACCACTTTAACATTTTAACTTCCTGAGATGCAGTGATTTACATGCACTGCTGTCTGCATATCTGCTTTCTGTGCAGATAGTTGAGTTTAGCTGTAATCTCTAGATGTCGGCAAGTAGCAGACAAAATAGCACAGTCTATAATCCAAACCAGAAGGAACTCATGCTGACCACAAATTGTCAAATTATTTCTTACACTCCTTGATTTAAGATGTTCACAGTGGCTTTATTTACCATACACAGTATATCCTACAGCACAGCATAGGACCTGTCACCCCAAAATACTTAAATGTGGAAAAGAAAACATACAAGCAGCAATTCAAACTGGCCAATTCTCCCTCTGTCCTCTCTTACTAAAGGAATATGAAAAGGTTATGAAAAAACATGAAGGAACCACAAAACATCAGCAATCAGCAAAAAAACTCACCACAAAAAAAGCACAAGGCAGCAAAGAACATTTACATTTCAACTATCACACTGCAACCTCTGAAATAGTTCATATGAATGCCTAGATTCTTTTTTTGGCATCTATAAATTTATGGGCTTAACTACATTGGCAGAACTCTGTAGCCCATTCAAAGACACTCATAGCAGAAGTAACATGAGCAACAAAAGGATAAGGGCTCTCTACAGCAATTCAGCCTTGCGAGACTGTACTGTAAAGAGATATATATCACACACATAATTAGGATCATTGTTTTCACCAACAACCTCTAAGGTAACAGATACACTTACACATCACAAGGAAAAAGGGATTCTCCAGTAGGAGCAGCAGCAGATGGAACATGAGAAGAGAGACAAGTGCAGTCATTGAAAAAAATTGATTATTGACCAAAATTTAGAGAATGTAAGCTACATTATTTCACAGTTGTACTTGTCAGCTCATCAGCAAAGCAGGAATATAGCAAGAAGACTTACCCTTACCAGATCATTATCAAGAAATGATAACATGAAACATTTTCCTTAGTAGCAGACAATTTGATTAGTTCTCTTTGCATCACTCATACTTCTCACTTACCTGCTGTCTAAGAAGAGTGATAATGTGTATAATTTTGGCTCAACCTAATTAAAAATTATGCTCAAATAGTTTCCTATTGACCTAAAAGGAATGTGGATGTAAATGTTCATAAAAGAAGAAATGAACATTTCCATAAAGTCTCAACATATAAAAAAAGTTTGTAGCTTGCCTATTATATGCAGAATACCCATTGAGAAATATACAGATCAAGATGCATAAAGTCTTACTACTTCTGTACATTTAGATCACACTGAAGAAGGAATAGAGACCACAAAACCACTACACTATGCTGTAACGCCACCAATATACCATTACATTAAAATCTATGCAATAGGACAGAATAAAATAAAACTATACATAAATATTATTGTGCTCTTGATACCCAATATGCCAATGTTTCGTGTCAGCATAACTGATGTACTGTTTATGCCTTTTTGTTTATTTATCCTCAAACAAATCCTTTCATGGCAGATCTAAATCACATGCAACACATCCTTTGCACTCCCAATAGGGCTGTAATATGCAGTTTGTTCAGTGTAAAAAAATCGTTATTTAAGAAAAAATGTTTACAGCCACCAGGCAACCTGCAAAAAAATTTATTCTGGGACGAATCCTATATTCTATGCAGCTTGCTAGTTATAAATAAAAACAGAGCGTTCCATAGAAATTATTTCAGTGGAATTCCTAAAGCTACTTTTTACTTTTTTATCCTATGGGAAACACTAGGGTAATGTCTTAATTGGAGGTACATTGGAAACCACCAATTAACCCACTGAAGTCAGCCTTTTAGCCTGACAGCATTACTATCCTTGAGGGCTGCCATTTCTACACTGTCAGAAAACACAGTAATGCAGCAGATATGTTTCATATGTGCTCAGATAAAACAGAAGTTGGAAACTTGGAAACTCCCTCCTGTAAAACTGAAAGTATTGTCAAGGCATCTGTTCTCATTCCAGTACTTCAGTTAAATCAGCCAGAATCCACCTGACAAACATGAAAACAGTGCACAGGAGGGAGCTGATATAATGTACCTTCAGTGATTGAGACACTGTAAAGAATTGCTTCCTGCATTACTTTTCAGGAAAAAAAAAAAATGCTACAGAAAATAATGACACTCCTGATTTGCAGCAACTCAAATGAAAGCAAGGAAAGGTTACTTTTCTTATCCTCATAATGTTTGTCACATTCAAAACTAAGAAAATCGGCATACACATTTCAAGAGCTACTGCTTAGAAAAATTGTCATCATTACTATTAATTCATTATATTAAATTATCCTTATTATTACCTTTAGGACACATTCATCACTCACTGGATCACAGAACAGCAGCAGCAAGGAGCAATAGAAACACTTCTGGAAGAAAAAAGTATAGAAAAATGTTGTTTTATGGAACCAACATATTTGCAACATTAGCACTATTAGATTTAGTTTTGTATCTTGAAATGAATGCTCTAGTTACGCATTGACATAAAGCTGAGCTAAATGAAGTGTGAGATTACAGATCAGTATTCTTATGCTACTTACTACTTAAATTTATCTACATCCAAAAGATCTCTTCTTGTCATCTAAACATCAATAATTCATTTTACAGATGGGGAGATTGAGACGCTGAGCAGTGTGGTTTACTATGTTTGAACAGCAAGCAGATCAGTAAAACAGGTTTTACACTTAACCTGGGCTTAATTCAGGCAGTGTTATTTAGCCTCCCAAAGTTCTTGTGGTAGGACTGCACAAATAACTTCACTGCCAGAAGGGGAGAAATTACAAGATGTCAAGCTCATGAACATTTGCATGTTTTTATTTATCTGAAAAGTCCTCTCTAGCTGCAAGTTATCAAAGAGCCTGAAATTGTTGTTGTAAGAAGCAAGATAACAGTGAAGTGTTCTTTCAAAGTGTCAAACTTTGTGTTTCAACCTAATACAAAAAGGTTCTACATCTTTTTGTTTCACTTTAAGGTGTTAGGCAGGTGATCATTCTGTTTAGCTCCTGATGATCTTCTACACCCATGTGTACAATAGTGTCATCTAAGTAACTCCATGGCTGAAGGGAAAAATAATTAGTGTTTCCACTAATGGTTCCATCTTCCTCTTATTTAGCTTTGGAATTTTTGGTGGCACTCAGAATTTATTAATTTGTACTGCAAGCTTTGAAGCAACCCCTTTCAGCATGATGTGCAATATTCAGGAGGATTGAAAAGTTAAGGATTGAATTTAGCCAGGAAACAGATGTGGCAGACTAGAATGTGTTTTTACACAACTATAAAACCTGATAAACTGAATCTCCAAAACACTGAATTCTAGGTAATCTAAAAATCTAAACATACTTAAAATCCAGTGACAATTAGCTAGAACTGCACAACAGCACTTCAGTGAGGATGCTCAAAAAAAAAAACATGCAAAAGAACAACATGCAACATCATGAACAAGATGACTGACCAGTACCCAGAGACCATCAAGGCACATCAGGGATGCTGTAGTCACCATTTAGCTCAGATGTATTTTATTTACATTTCAGCACAACCATATCACAAGGAAGACAAAGCACTGAACTTATTTCAATTTTAATTTCCTTGCAGCCAAGCTGAAGTCTTCAATATTAATACAGCTGAAACAACACTCTTGATTGAGGGAAGGAAAAAAGTCAAACGGGATAAATTGAGTTGACATTTAGCTTCAAATTAGTTAACATTTTAAATTTTTGACTAAATTTCTAACAGTATTATCAAAGGCAAACAGAATCAAGGCATACCACCTTGAGGTCTGGTTATCTTTTCTCTGTGTAGATGAGTGAGTATAGAGGAGTGTGTGAGATGAGTATAGATGTGCTGAAAGCTTGAATCAATATACCTCTAAGTTGCTTTAAGACCTCAACAGCATCCACACACCTTGAAATAGTTTTGAACGAGTACTCTAAAAAAACACTTGTATTATCCAAAAATATCAAGTGATAATAATTATAGAATATCTCAAGCTTAAAGTTAAACCAGCAAAAAGCGGCAGAAAAGGCAACTTATCTGAAGACAAGAGCATGTTAATTAAGATAAACTAGAACATTAATCAAATGGTCTCTAGAAAGCTAGAGACATGAATCAGTATGTGACTTTCCACTGCATTTTTCCCCACAAAAAATTACAAGGCATTACGTCCTGACCTGCTTGAGTACAGCCAGTGCAGCATACGGCAGTGCATTGCCCTGACAATGAGCTTTGACTTACTGGTATCTTATCTTGCAACAGTTTAGAAACTGTAGCTATATGTGGAAATAAAGTATCTGCATATTCACCTGCTGAAATGGGAAGGTTTTTTGGCTCCAGATACAAGATATTTGTTAAAAGTAGCACACCATTTGACACCGCAGATGTCTTTTTAAGGAGTCCAAAAAACCTACTTAAAAGTAGCATAGAAGGTTTAATCAACACCTAAGAAAGGAAAAGCTTCTGCTGATCTCCTCCACTCCAAATATATTAATTTCATTCTTAAGATGAAATACTAATAGATATAACTCAATAAGCAATACCCTATTTTGTTTCAAAAATGCAAAGCAGTCCCTACTAAATCCAACCATTCTGAACTGCTTTGGAAAACCACAACCCTAAGCAGAGACAGATCAGCTAAATTAAGGCATTTAGATATCTTTTTTAACCAGTTTTAACCATTTTACAAGTTCTCATATTATCAATGTTAACAATTCTGCAAGCATATTTCATTAAAAATTGTATCTTGTTGACATGCCAAGTCTCCTGTAGTACAGCTACTGGAAAGAATGTGGGATTGTATCCTCAGTCACTGTAAATCACTGACACTTGTAAAGGAACCAAACCAGTGCTCATCAACTACAGATCAAATATACTGTTAATTACTGAATGTGCATAGGTAGAAAAGCTTTGAAAAAATACTGAATATAATGGCCCTGTCATTCATTTTAGGATTGCATTTTCATGATAACTATTGAAAGCTGTTTTTTTCCTTTGCATTTTCTCTCCTTTATTGGTAGCAATTATGGGTGATTTTATGTCTGTTTATAGAAGGTTGTAATTGAGATAGAAAACATACTTAATTGACATAGATATTTGTTGTGCTAGGGACTTGATTGCTGACTCTGAAGTTGATTGAGAATACCCTTCCTAATGACTGGCTTCAGACTCATACATCTGAAACAACAGGAGAAAGTATTTTCATCTTTTCACCAACATTTGCTCAGGAAAAAAAAAGAGCAAGAATATAAACACAGCAGTGGATGAAACTCCTTAGCATCACCAGTGCTTGTCCTATTCCTCCTTATGGCCCCACTTACAATACTCCCAAATTAAGAATACTGCAAGAGTTTTTTTTTGGCAGAATATAATAGTGCCCTATATATGCACCAATAAACAGCAAGATATTGGAAGTAGACATGAATGCAGGTCTAGAGCCAGAGGGTTGGTGATAGAAAGAATCATGAAACCATAGAATATCTCAAACTCAAATAGACACACACAAATCACCAACTTGAACCCCTGGCTACATACAGGACCACTTAAAACCAATCCCTATATTTGAGAGCATAATCCAAGTGCTGCTTGAACCCCAGCATCTTGGTGCTGTGGCCACTGCCCTTGGGAACCTGTGCCTGACCACTCAGTGGTGAAAGACCAGTGCTACTATGGCTCAGCAATAATTTTGCAGGGCTGAAGTCTATGTCTCCAAAGAAAATTTCATCACCTAAAACGATTTGCAGCATATCAATTCCTTGTTCTTTAATGATGGAAGTGATTATAAACTTGTATTTAGAATGACATAGCTTAAACATGTGACTACAGAAAGAACCATAGAATAATGAAAACTGTGTGACAAAATATAGTAAAATATGATCTATAGTCATCTTGGTTTAGGAAAGCCATGAACAGACACATCTCAATTTCAAAGTGAATTAATAACTAAATTATTAGGAAAACACAAGCATACTTCATACACTAATCTTCCAATGTAATAAGTACTTTGTACAGCATTTAACACACCAACCAAGCGTGGTGTGTTAAATGCTGTACAAAGTGTCTAAAATGAAAATGGTTTTTCATTTTAGAATTTTTAGGAGTAGGTTTTGGAGGACTTCTGATTATTAACACTTAACCACTCAAAGAGCAATCAAACCACTAAAGACTATTTGTATACCACAGCATGCAATAGGAAGAGGTTTCAGAAATCAGTTTAATGCAAGTTTCCCAACCCAAGGAATATCCTTTGAAAACACCTACGTGGATTATTCAAGTGCAAAAACTAAGTACTGCCTTACAAGGCTCAGTTCTGAACTTCTCCCAGTGCTATGTCTTTTTTTCATATTGCAGAAATCCGTATGTATCAACAAGAGAAGTAGGCATACTGTCAGAGAGATAACATTCAGATGCTGTATATGGATGTGTACTACTGGAAAGAAATCCTACTTTAACACCAGTTCCTTTACTGGGGATCTGCTGGAGGCAGATGGAAGCTTCCACTTGAGTTAAGAAAAAAACCATCATTGCCACTACTAAAGCAGTACTCTGAAGTGTTCTTCCCTAGTAACCTTTCTCAGGTGGAATTCTGCCACAGCTGTAACAGAAATGAGGACTCATTTTCTATTTCCACATCAAATACCTTCTACACTTTCTCCTTTCCTAGCTCACATCTTGAGTATACAACCCAGCACACATCCTTCCTCTCTTACCTCCCCTTCGTATTGGGGATAGATTCAAACACAGTCATCTGAAATCCAGAAAATCCATTTACCTACTTGAACACTCATACAGGAGGCTTCCTTATATATTTTTCCAGTATTAATCCAGTGGCCACATCAATGATTAGCATGTTCTTTTCTTCCCCTACATCAAATACCAACCAAATTGTCATGTGGAAAAGTTCAAGCTTCAACTTAAGCACTGTTATTTAGAGCAGCGGAAGGCCTGAATGAGCCCAACATCAATGACAAAGGTTACTATAGACAGCATCTGTCAGACAGTACCAGGAAGCAGCCTTCTTGCATACTACCATTTCCCTGAATTCTATTTAAGGAAACAGATTGTATTTCAAAATATTCTGATGTCACACTAAAATCCTAGGGTTCATGAAAATGAAAAACAGCAGTGTACTCAATAGGCAGCCACTACTGTATGATTTCTTATCTTGTCACAGCCACCAGAGGCAGTAACATGGCCTCACCATAGCAAATACATCAATGTCAGCAGCACAGCCACTTTCCACAGCTAATGCAATCTTTTAAGACCACCTATCCACTGCAACCCTTTTTCCTCCTCACAAGTATAGTCTAGGAACAGAACCCCTTCAATGTTATTTTTACCCCTGTATTGCATTTGTCATTTAGTCATAATAATGTTATGT